GTCTTAGTTATTTCTCCTCCCTGCGCGTGGATTTGCATAGCCAATAGCTTCTCAGCTCTCCACCGACGCTGTGTGATTGTTACTGGGCAGACTTCATCTTCACCTTCCTCCTCCCTCAGCTGCACGCGGTCATCTGTCAGCCCGGAGTTCCACCTGAAGAGCCCACCTGACGCGCCAGAGGCTCCTCCCTCACATCCAGCAGGACGTGGATGAATTTTTTGGGATCAAACTTTGCGCACCAGAGCGACTAAAGCGTCGCACTTTTTTTCATTTCATTTCATTTTTATTAATTTATTCATGGCTTAAAACTTGCAGATTGAAACGATTTAAACGAAATTATCATTAATTCAACAAAGAAAATATCTTTTTGATTTAACAGTATCATTTGAACAAAATAAAAGTATGCGCCTGGATTATTTAATTAGAATTTTTGCTCATCATGAGGCTGAAAAACGTCACTAACATATTATTTTCAGGGTACAGAACACAAAGAGATGCATTATTTCTGCTACACACAGTTTAGAAGATAATCAGCTGAAATGCGTAACGTACTTCAGATCTAACAGAACCAGCTGCTCCAAATGATCCAGGATGCGCAATTACGCACCTGAAGAAAAGTCCCCAAGGTTTCAATCCACGCTACTACAAGGACACAGGTCCTTTTATTTTTGCCCAGGCACAGAAATTATTTATCTGTATCACATTTCACCAACTCCTCCTTAGGGACTTTAAAGTCCTAACATCTTATTTTATTTATGAGAGAATGTGTTTCCAATCACTGAAACGTCCCATTCACGAGGTATTCTTTGGATAAAAGTCTTAAAGTAAAGCAGCTAAGACATTTACTGACAGACCTTTGGATCATGAAGCTTTAAAGGGGCAGCTGTCAGCAGCTGTGTGTGAACAGAACCGCTCCATCAGAAGCAGCAGCGGCGCATTCCTGTCCCCGGAAGCGTTCACTTATCACATCCGAACAAACCCCCCAACACACCCTGCCTGAACACACGCGCGCGCGCACACATGACTTTGTGCACGGGGGTGGGCTTAAATTATGAAGTTTGTTTTTAAAAGTTATTTAATCCCCGCGCGTCACGCTGTAAGAAATATCGGGTTATTTTTTTTTAACGTTTATCTTCCTCTAAATATAATCTGGATTAAAATAAGCAGAAGGACATAAAACCCCGATGGTTTCCGATTATTTTTTTCAAAACAATAAAAACTGAAAAACAAGAGAAGAAATATATATTTATTCGGATTTATTTTGGTGAGAAAAAAAATATAAAATAAAAGAAAAAAACAAAATTACTAATTTATTGTGAAATATTAGTAATGGTTTGATTTAGAATTTTAAAAAGTAGAAAAAATGAGGGAATTAAAGTTAAAATAAATTATTCAGCGGTCACTTTTTACAGCGTGGATAGACTCATCATCATCATCATCATCATCATCATCATCATCATCATCATCATCATCATCATCTGCGCACTTTTCCCAGTTGAGAGCCGCGCAGGGAGAACGCGCAGCTCGTGCTCAGCTTGCCTCCCTCTTTGATCTGCCTCTCTTACCGACATCACCATGGGAACGTGCGTCTCACCAAAACTGTCTCTGAGTGTCTCTGAGTGTCCCAGAAGACATGAGACCAGTCGGAGGGGAATTCATCAGAGAACAGTCGTGAAATGACAACATTTCGTGTCAGAGTGGGAAAAAACATATTTCTGAGTAACGCTTTAGACCTGATTATTATTCATTTAACATTTCATTTTACCTTGCAAAAAATGAAAAATAAATGTTTTCCTTCTGGTGAAAAATGTAAAAAAAAAAAAAAAAAGGAAAACCAGGAAAGAGCAGCATCTTCAAGGAACCTAAATGATTGAGTTCTTTAAATGTTGTAAACTTGTTTAAACAGGTCAAATCTCCACAGGTATGTCCCAGAAAACCTGTCGCAACAAGTCAGGAGCTGCAGCAGGACATACTCCTTTCTTATCAATAAAATTATTAAAACTGAATAAAAGGACAAAAAGGGGGTTTTAACTGAAATTATTTGACTATTTTATCCTCTGTATATTTT